TTAAACATGTCCCAAGATTGAAAGGCTATCCTTGGGAAGAAAAGAAGCATAATCAATAATCAGTAAGGGAAATTTCCAAAGATTAACTTTTACTCATTGTTAGTAATAAAAAATGTATAGTCAAAGGTAGTACTACCGCTATAAGAATAAATACTAGTGATAACACAACATCAGAAATGAGCTAAAGAAATGGTATTCTGGATCCTCAACAAGCTTTGACCAAGATATGGTTTTTGGAACAGTGTCAGAGTTACAGTTCAGCAACCCCAGTGTCTCATGAATTCATGCCATGAGATACTGGTTAATCCAAACTGGAAAATTCACCTCTTTCAGTTTCAGATATGACCAGGAAGAAAAACTATGTAGACACAGTGGTCTCTAGCTTTCTGAACTAGGTCTCCCAGCTTGCCTTTCACCCTGAAATTCAGGGAGGTGTGGATTTAAATTTTTGATTTTGTTCTATGACTATGCTTGAATCCCAAACCGAAATAGGTTAGGGCAAACAGTTTTGATGAAAAGCTAAAATAACCATAAGATTTTTTTCCCTAATAACAGTATTCTGATTTTGTCAGTCTTTCTGTGTCTATCTAATGATTAAGGTGGTTTAATTTAAATATTTGTACTGAATTTACTGTGCCTTCAGTATATAGTATTAAGTGAGTAGCTCTGTCAGCTCAGTTCTGTTTGTCCTAGTTTGAACCCTACAACAGACATCCAAAAATGTCATCTAAAGATCCAAACCTGTGAGGTGCTGAACACATCCTACCAACTGCTCAGATTCACACAGGATCATGCTCAAGCACTTATTTATAAGGCATTAACTGTTGATTTGTAAAGAAACTTCCTGATTCTATCCTTGTTAAAAAAAAGAGTGAAGAATTAGTTATGTCTGTTGATGATTTCATTTTGCTTGCACCTATAATCCATGGTGGCATCTTTGTGACAGTGAAATGTTTTGTAATGTTTGCTGTGATTAAACAACTAATTTGTCTTTGAGTCTTTGAGTGTATACTGGCTTAGATCCACTAAAAAGACAGGCATAATGACATGATTTTCTCTACTAGTACTGCTGTGCTGCTAAGCACAAAATAGTCTGTAGTATACTTTGTCTCTGCTGTTAACTATATGTCATGGAAATCACATGTGGAAGAACTATTATCATTTTCGATCCTCCCTCTACCATTGTAGGATTGTTTCTTACAGTAGAATCCTGAATGTATTCAGTATATTCAGTTTTGTCTGATTCCACAGTTAATGACTCCCACAATGGGATATGTATGTTGTGATTCGCCCACTTTCTGCCTTAGGGTTCTTTTACTTTCTCTTTGCCCTTCTCAACACAGGGATATTTTCTTCCAATCTCAAACGAGCAGAACCAATTTTTAAACCATCTGGAACTTGTATACAGACAAGACTCCAGAGACCAGAACTGTTTTGGACTCTTTTTATAACTGTTTCATTTAACTGTGCCTTTGAGGAGGTCTCACTCCTCTGGTTATAAGAATGGTTCTGCTGCTGGGGCCTTGCCATTGCTGTAGCAGTTTCAACCAGTTTTGCAACTGTTTTGAATTTCCTCTGTACAGACAAAGCTTAAGCATGGCAGCCCTTCCAAAAATTGTTAAACACACAACAAAGGCTTCAGCAGTTGAGTTGGAACAAGAGTCTGACTAGTAACTTGTCAAACACGATCTATTTTAGATCAATTCTAGTTGAAAAAAAATAAAGGTTCACACTTCCTTGACTAGAAGCAGGCTGTACCTTGCAAAAGCTCATGCCTCTCTCACCCCATCCTGCATTCTGCTCAGAATTTCCTGCAAGTAAAACTGCTTGGT